TTCCTGCTGTAAATTCATTCAAAATAAATCTTGCAAAACTACTGGGCTTCAACATCACCTTTTGTGTGGTGGTGTGTTTTTTTTCCTATGACGAGGGAAGGACAGAAGCATGCACTCCACACAAGTCCACCGTTGGCAAGTGTTGATAGTGTTTCCAGCTCCTCCACATTTCAGTAGCCTTTTCTCACTGAGCTTATTCAACACAGTGACTCTTTCTGTTTTCTTACTCTTCTATTTAATTGTGAGTTCACGTCTCTAACTGGATAAAAGTGAACGGATTCATCTCCCTTTTTGAGAGGGATAAAATAAATGAAAAATGCATCATAATATAAGGCAGTAGCACTTGAAAAGTTGAGAGCTTGCAGCTGAATTTCAGAAAGAGGGTAGATGGGAGCTAGTTCACCTCTCATTGGTGCTGTGATGCCGCTTGCACTGACAGAATATGTTGGGCTGTAAGAAGCTGTGTTTCTGTTGGGCACACACGGTTCTTCTGCCAGCTTCCTCTGGGAGTTGTGGGGGAATACAGTCTGGAAAATATGGGAACTCATGAGAAGCTGCCTAACATGTTATCTAGCCTGCAGAGAATAGATGCTGCTTCCCATCAAACCCTTTCAATGTTTTCTTGTAAGTCAGTTTTACTTGGGTATCTTCTCCCTATTAGTAAACACCCTTCTGGCGGCTGTCAGGTATAGTTCTAGCTGAGTTTAGAGAATTAGGATTTCAAGTCACAAGTGCAGTCCTGCAGTATTTAGGCAGACAAAATCCCTATTTGCCCACAAAATGATTTGTTGAGCTTTCAGTAAACACTTGGGTCCTGTTATCTTGCTTCTACTACAGTGATGCAAGGGAAGAACGTAATTCATATTGAAGTTTGGTGCCCTGAAGATTCACTTGATACGCTTAATATAGATTAGGAGGTCTCTGAGTCAGCCTGTATCTCTTTCCTTTAGTCTGTAAATCATTAATCCTTGCTTTACTGGCTGCTGGGCCACTTGATGCCACCTGATGCATATATTATGTGCACTTAAGTGTTAAGGATGTTAACCAACAAGTTAGAAGAAGAATATTCAGGAGCTAGCACAGAAGAGGGCAGTAGGTGTAGGAATGCCATGTCTGTTAAATAAAAGACACAAGATACATACTAATCTTGTTTGATAGGGCTTAACCAGTGTTTTTATATAAAACTCTCTGATAGGAACAGGATGGGACCTATTTTCTTGTCAAGTCCAGTCCTCTGTCATAAGCAACTACCTATATATTCCTTTTAAAAGCCAATCAAACTCCATCTAAAGCAGTTGTTTCCCACTTCTGCCGCTGCTCTTGGGAGTCTGACCTGCAGTTTCATTTCTCTGATGGTTTTCAGACATCTGGTTTCCCTCCTACCTGATTTTTAGGACTCATTTCTGTGCCAGCATTGTTCATCAGCTTAATGAGAGCCAGCCTCTTCCTAGGTTCTTCGCTCTAACCCATTTTTAGAGATCAGTTGTTTTGCTGGATTGGATAAGCCAAGATCTTTGTGTTGTTTCATGCAGTAGCTTTGTTACCATTTGCTATTCATAATGGTTTTTCTGCCCAGGAAGCTATGTAAGCTGGGCTGCATAGCCTGACTGTCTTCATTGGCTTTTTGGGATGATCTGTCTGAAAACTGAAATGACACGATGATAATAATAGCTCAGAAATCGCAAGCTTGCAGGAGTTGCCAGTATGGATACAAGGGGACCATGTAACTGTATGTTTTGCTGCTAGTAAGTAATTGTCTTGAAACCGATGTGCTAGACTTGAGGAACTGATTATTTTTTTTAGCATTTTATTTATTTATTTTCTCTAGAGAGGGAATAATTTTAACTTTAAAGTCAATTGGTTGGTAGGTCCCTAATCCTGTTGTTTCGCTGGGGTTTTTTTTGTTTGTTTTGCTGACATTGTTGAGTTTCAGTCAAAGATACTGTGGCAGAGAAATTCAGAGAGCCCTCCTTTGTGTGCTGTTGAGACTTAAAGTCATGTAATGATCATTGGTAAGCGACAAAGACCCACCTTTTAGGAATTTTCAGAGTAAAGTTAAAATCCATTGGAGCCTGACAAGATGCAAGGGGAAAAAAAGGCGCACAGAGGTCTATCTATTACACATAAAGCAATGTCTGATTCCTAAGAGGGTGCAGTGAGGCAGAAGTATTCCTTTGTATTAACTTCAAAGGGACATATCTGGAATCCAGGTTCTGTGACTGACATGCATTGAAATGAAATCTGTTGGTATATAAATTGGATAAAAACCTTCTTGATGTCCTATACAGAAGCTAGACCAATGGCTGACTGTATACCAGGTTGTAGGCAACATCTTCTGGTTTGGACAGAGTGGCCTGGTAGCTGGGGGAAGCAGGTACACACAAGCTCTGCAGGGAAATGTCAGAACCAAATAGCATAAAACTTGCTGTTTATCATCATCAAAATCATTACATTTGTGGTGGTGCTTTCCAAGTGGAGGATACCTACATACAGCCAAGGTAAAAGCAGCAGATACTTGCTCTGTAATAACTAGTATTTTTACAGAGAAAGTAAATGCAGTGGAAGTATCTCAAGAAATATATACTGCTTTCTATAGAGCTACAGTTTTCAGAGAAGACATTTTGACTGGCCTGCGTGGATACAATTGCCATTGCTAATTGTTACTGTTTTTACTAGGTGATGCTGGAATGAAACACCTGTTTCAGGAGTGCTGCCTTTTCATTCTTTCTGTCTTCCTTTATGAGCAGAGATTTGTTTGCATGTATGTACCCGATTAGAGAAGCAGGCAACGTGGTGTATAAAGTTACTGTTTTTCTGCTCTCCTGCTGATGCCCACACAGGACTCTGTACAGTCACCTCTTGTTTTCAGAGGCAGGTTGTTTTTGTGTACTGCTGGTAGGACTTCTCATGGGAAAGGAGGTCATTGCTATCTGGTGCTGACCCTGTGACTGTAGGAAATCTGAATGAGAATGCTTTAATGGTATGTTTTGGGCCTTAGCCCATTAACATCTGTGAAATTCCACAACACTCTTGAACAAAAGGCAACATGGCATTCATATCTTTTGTGTAGCCTTAAGCACTTACTGTGTAGGTAAACAGTTCCAGAGCAGTTCCCGGTTTTCTCCTCTGCTTTCACATGTTTGTAATTTTCCAGAACATTCACGCTTTGCAGCAAAATCAAAGATGCTTGTTCTCTGTCTCAAGAAGATATTTTTTAAATATCTCAGATATTGAAACATGTGAATAGATGTTGAAACAAAATTCTTTCTGCTGTTTTTGAGAACTGAAGACAGATTACAGTGCCCATTTTACTATAATAAGTAAACTTAGCAAAATATTATTCCCCTATATCATCAGGTTGTATACTCAGCTGCACAAAGATCTACATTTGCAGGGGCAGTTGAAATCTCTCTTAATGTAGGACTGTTAATAAGGATGTTTATAATTAAGGATGTTTATAATTAAGCAGCTCTCGTAGTTCAGTAGTGGTACAGGGGTAAGAGGACTAGGTCCTCAGTATGTGCTTATGTTACACCTATAAAGATGAAGCTGGTTCCCTGGGAAGGTATGTTTTATTAAATTCAGTTCTGCTAAGCTCTATTAAATTGGGGTTGTGTAGGCGGAATCTTTCTCTGGACACTGACAAATCTCTTACCTACTGCTTTTCAAATATTCCTGCGGGACTTCAGGCCTTGCCACACTCAGGCTATACTTCTGGGTAGAACAATGTCTCTGCTTTTGTTATGTCCTAAAATAAGTTAATTGAAACATAGGCTTCAAACTAAGTTGTGGAGTAAATCTTAATTCTGCTCTAGATAATGCCACTACTTGTTATGTCTTCACATGACTTGTCTTTGAACTCAGTGGAGAACAAGGCAAAAACTATGATATTAATAGCTCTGTTTATACATTTTTAATGCATTCGATTCGTTGTGGATAGCTTCATTAATGTTAAATGTGGTTCTAAATATGGACGGATATAAGTGTTTTCTTTTGAAAACCTTTGATGGAGTCTAGCATGCAGGCTGGCCTCTTGTATTAACTTTGGTTCTGTTCACGTTTTCTTTCTCTTTGTTTCAGGAGCTATTGTGACAATCTTGGCTACCACCCGTTAAGTGCTGCTGACTTTGGAAAGATCATGAAAAATGTCTTTCCAAATATGAAGGCCCGTCGTCTAGGCACAAGAGGCAAATCAAAATATCCTTTGCTAGAACACTTCTCAGTACATTCTTCTGCACTTGCCTGGAGAACATCTGTCACTATGGCTTAACTACCAGCTAAATGTAGAAGTAATGTTAAATTAAAAAATGCAGACACTTTCCCAACGTTCTTTAAAAATTACTAATTGCTGTAGGGTTAGGCTGCAAGATATAACTTTGGAAACAAGTACTTAAATGTAGGTTCTGGCGCTTAGTTGTCACAGCAGTGAGGAATCAAAGAAGCTTTATCATTTAGTGCAAAGGGAGATACTGGAATAAAGGAACTTGCCTTATATACGTGCAGTAACTAATATTTTATGAGTACAGCTCAGAATTATCAGAATGTTTCTTGCTTTTGTATTAGACTTGTGCACACCAGTAATTTAAAAGTTTGTTGAAAGCCAAAGGTCCTTCTTAAGCTGTGCTACAGATATTTCGTAAAACTGCCTCTCTTCAACCATTAGTATTGCTTGAAAGAGAAGAGGGAACTGGGAAGTCATCACAAAAGCTGACTTCAGGCTTGGAAGGCATGATCCGAGGTTTGTCCTGTCATCAGAAGTGGGAGATGGCTTCCTTTGCTGCATGGTGCAGACCTCCTGAGATAGGAAAGACAGTTCGGAGCAAGAGCTTCTAGGATGGGCAGCACTCTCTCCCTCTTGACTGCAGAGTCTTGCTCCCCGTGCCAAAGTTGGA